CAGTAAAATGAAAACCATTAGAGAACCAGGAAAGGCAGGATTTAATTCTAGAGGATTTCGTTTTTATAGCTCTAACAGCCAAGGCCGGTGGGTCCCTACGGCAGGCAGAGAATGAAAGGCTATTAAAAGTTGAGCTAACAATCATCAACCATTTTGTCAGACTTGGCTTCCTGAGGTCGACTGTCTAAAATTCCCCAAAGGGGAGCTGCTTCTTTGGAAAGGTTACTAACATTTAAAGGAGTCTCCAGGGGAAAAGACTATCAATAGTTGATCATGGAAAAGGAACACACAAGCAGACATCTGGGGCCGGAGGAATTTTCCAATAGTGGTAGTTAAACTAATAATCGGCAAGCAAAGAGCATTTCTCGTTGGGTCATTAGTTGAAGAGGTTGCTTCGTTTTTCTCTTCTAGCTAAATAACCTACATATCTACGGTATTTTCTTGCTATAAAATCGCTTAATACGCTGAAAATGTTGCTTATTTTATTTAAATCAATAAATAAGACGAAAGTTTCGACGAAATTATTTTTTAAATGCATGTTGGGCTTTATGAAGTATAAAAACCCTGCCGGGCGATTTAATGCCGTTATCAGCTTTCTATTAGAGTCTGTAGGTAAACATTGGTTACGTTTATTGTCGAGTCGATAGACAGGCCCATCGCCAGAGAGAGCAGGGTCTGCCTCACAATCATTTAATTCCATTGCGAAAATAGATGTAAACTAATTTTAGAGCGTAAATTTTAATTCGGGTCCTTACCCACATCTCAAAGAAATCAGGCGACTGGCTTGTCTATAGGTAAACAGTGGTCGCGTTTACAGTCGAGTCTATAGGTAAACACTAGTCGCGTTTACAGTCGAGTTTGCAATTACCCACCCGGTAGGTGGCGCTATTAGAAGTTACCTTAAGCCTCTGCAGGGAATGCACCCGGCGTAACGGAGGAATTGTCAATAGGGCAAAATGTTGATAGCTCTGATAATACAATCAAAGGCGATATTTTTGTATACAGGTGAACCAGTGATTTTTAACCGCCATGAAATTTTGTGCCGTGAAATTTTGTCACGACATATTGAAGAAATCGTGAGAGAACACCAGGCTCAGGTATCACAATAAATAAACTGTACAAATAGTTGAATAGAAACAAAAAATCTATGGTTTTATTTCATTACATTTATATGAATACCCTTTAAAAATTTTGCTAAGCCTTCGTGATATTTTCATTTGCTTCTAGGTGTGCCATTGCTTAAAGTTGAGAAACGCTACCATAACAAAATATCTAAGTAGGGGATCAGGCTGCTAATACATTGTTATTTATTGCTTTTGTCCTGGGTTAACTTTCTTTGGATATTTTTACATATATTTTTAGAAAGCAAGATTTCTTTCTTACAAATGATAAAAATAATTATAATGATGAAAATCCTATATTACCAATGCAATGACTTAAGAATATGAGGTCAGATCAAAATGTATTAGAACTTGCTCTATAACAACACAGCATTTAATCTTCGAAATAGACTCCTTCTGAAGCCACACACTTTATTTTGCATTGTTTTCATTGATGGAAACATTCCTGGAACTTCTTTGAGGTAGCAAACACTCGCCTTATCACATTTCTCTTGGATTTCCTTGACAACTTGAAATCTCCAAATGATGACAGTACCCACTGACACATTTTGGATTTCAATACAAAAGGAATATCAGACATTAGCTAAAAAGGCTTTATCAGTTTTATTGAAATTTTCTACTTCTTATTTATGTGAATTAGGCTTCTCAACCCGAAATAACATCAAAAATAAAAAATGAGAAAAACTACACTCAACTGAAAAAGAAATGAGGGTCTGCTTATTGCACATTTGACCAAACATTGAAGAAATCACAAAAAACACCAGGCACAGGTTTCATACGAAATAAACTGCACAAATACTTGAACAGAAACATTGAAATAAAGTAAGTTCATATTTGTGTGTGTATTTTTTAAAAAATATATGCTTTTTATTTCATAACATTTATATGAATACACTTAAAATTTTGCTAAACGTGCCGTGATATTTTCATTTGCTTCTAGGTGTGCCAAAGCTTAAAATGTTGAGAAACCATAAAAGAATATCTAAGTAGGAGACCAGGCTGCTAACATATTGTTATTTATTGCTTTTGTCCTGGGTTAACTTTAAGTCTGCGGTGAAAAATTGTCATGGCATACATGTGTGTGTGTGTGTTTGTGGAAAAAAGTAATATAACAGCGTTAGTATTTGAATAAATAAATAAGTATTAAACTTTTTATCGCACTATAGCTAAAAAGACTTTATCAGTTTTATTACAATTTTCTACTTCTTATTTATGTGAATTAGGCTTCTCAACCCTAAATAACATAAAAAATAAGAAGCAAGAAAGACTACACTCAACTGAAAAAGAAATGAGGGTCTGCTTATTGCAAATTCGAGCAAACATTGAAGAAAATCAGGAAACAGGTACAGGTTTGGCACTACATAGTTGAATAGAAACATTGAAATAAACTAAGTTCATATTTGTGTGTGTCTTTTTAAAAAATCTAGGGTTTTATTTTATAACATTTAAATGTTTACCCTTTAAAATTTTTGCTAAGTGTGCCGTGATATTTTCATTTACTGCTAGGTGTCCGTTGCTTAAAAAAGGTTGAGAAACACTGGTTTAGTTTTTTGGTGACCCCCAGAATAACTATTATTTTCCCTCACCGAGCACAGAAAAGTATGATTGGATTCGAAATCCCTTTGCAAATGTTCCTTCTAATATTGGACTTCAGTTATTTGAAGAAGAAGAATTTGGCCACCATTTCTTGTGATGGAGAGCTCAAAATAAAATATTCGATGGCACCCATTGATACATTTTGGATTTCAATACAAAAAGAACATCACGCATTAACTAAAAAGGCTTTATCAGTTTTATTGAAATTTTCTACTTCTTATGTGAATTTGACTTCTCAACCCTAAATAATATCAAAAATAAGAAGCGAGAAAGACTCCGCTCAACTGAAGAAAAGGGGGTCTGCTTATTGTAAATTCGACCAAAGATGGAAGAAATCGAGAAAAGAAAACGGACGGTTTTCGCGCTAAATAAGCTGCACAAATAGTTGAATTGAAACGTTGAAATAAACAAAGTTCATATTATGGTTTTATTTTATAACATCTAAATGTATACCCATTAAATTTTTTGCTGAGTGTGCCGTGATATTTTTATTTGCAGCTAGGTGTGCCGTTGCTTAAAAAGGTTGAGAAACACTGGTTTAGTTTTTTGATGACCCAAGAATGACTATTATTTTCACTCATTGAACACAGAAAAGTATGATTGGATTCGAAATCGCTTCATAAATGTTCCTTCTAATATTGGACTTCAGTTATTCGAAGAAGATGAAGAATTGGCCACCATTTTTAGTGATAGAGAGCTCAAAATAAAACATTTGATGGTACTCATTGATACATTTTGAATTTCAATACAAAAGGAATATTCCACATTGACTAAAAAGTCTTTATCAGATTTATTCCAAATTTCTACTTCTTATTTATGTGAATTAGGCTTCTCAGCCCGAAATAACACCAAAAATAAAAAGCGAGAAAGACGACGCTCAACTGAAAAAGAAAAGGGGGTCTGCTTATCGCACATTCGAGCAAACATCAAACATTGAAGAAATCACGAAAAAAAAAAAAAAAACAAACAAAAAAAAACAAAACACCAGTCCCAGTTTTCTTCACACTAAATAAGCTGCACAAATAGTTGAATAGAAACATTGAAATAAATTAAGTTCATATTTGTATGTGTATTTTTTTAAAATCTGTTTTTTTTTGTTTTTATTTTATAACATTTAAATGTATAATATTTAAATTTATACCCTTTAAAAATTTTGCTGAGTATACCGTGATATTTTAATTTGCAGTTCGGTGTGCCATTGCTTAAAAAAGTTGAGAAACACCGAGGAATACTTTTATGACAAAAAAAAAAAAAAAAGTAGAAAAATGATCAGAGTGTTTTATCTGTTCAACCCTCACTCGTTTACGATATGAATTAAATTGGGAATGCAAAAAGACGGAAACAATTGGCAGTAAGAAATGTTCGGGAAACGAAAAGAAAATTGGAAGACAATAATTACAATATTTACATTATTCGGACTATTGCCCTCATCTTTGTCGCCATATTTATCACAACGTTTCGGCCGTTGTACTCTCCGACCTTCTTCAGGTGGTTAGAATGTCGAACTGAACCCTTTATTTCGCTCACTGAAGTAGAATGTTCTAGTCCCACGTGCTATGTTTATCTGTTATCATCTCCTGTTAATTCCCCTTTCCAAGTTCTCCACTGCCTTAACCGGGTATTGAACTCACACTCTTTGGATCCTGTCACTGGATCTAACCAACGCCTTTATCTACTGTGCCATGTGTCCTTGAGTATGAATTTCTGGGTATTATAAACCTAATGAGTTCAGTAGCATTTTTTACCAATGCTAATATTGCAATTTTTGCTGTCCGAACAATGTAAATACTGTACATAATATCTCATCTCAGAAATATAGACAGATAATAATTAGAATATTTGACACAAACTCGTTAAATATGCTACCAACTGTTTCTCTTGCCTTCTATTTGTCTTGTGAATATTCTATTCTCCAAACCTTCTTTCCTCATTATATGTCCGAGAAATATCAACTCTTTCAAATCGTAGGCCTCAGTTTGTGAGTATTTGCTATCCTTAAATTTTATTTCCTCATTGTTAATTAATTAACCCCATCTTTTTAATTTCTGTTTGAATGAGCTGACGGCAAATGATGACAACTTTTCAGTTAAATTTTCAGCAAAATGCTATGAAGGTAAAGAGATTTAAGATGGAATGTTAGAAGCATCCTTGCCCTTTTTTTGTCTCTCAGAGAATGGGAATGAAAACACAGGATAGAGGAGCTAGATGTAAGGGGTTGAGGTGGAGGCAGAAGGAAAACAGGAGAGGAGAGAGGGAGAATTAAAGAACAAGAATGCAAAAGAATTAAAGAGAGAGAGGGGAGAGGACAAAAAAGTGTGTATGAGAAACTAAAGATAAGCAGAGTGAAAAGCAAAAAGAGAGTGACAAAGAAAGAGTGAAAAAGGGATTGACAAAGAGAATGAGAGAGAAGAGGGAGACACGAGAAATAATAAGAGACAAAGAGAGAAGGCAGAAAGACAAAGAGAGAAGGCAGAAAGACAAAGGGAGAAGGCAGAAAGACAAAGAGAGAAGGCAGAAAGACAGAGAGAAGACAGAAAGACAAAGAGAGAAGGCAGAAAGACAAAGAGAGAAGGCAGAAAGACAAAGAGAATGTAAAAATATCAAGTAAGCTGATAAGTTAAAAAAAAATAAAAATAGAAGAGAAATTTTTTTAAAAAAAGGGAAAGGAGCAAAAATGAAGAGAGAGAGAGAAAAGGAGAGGGAGAGAGAGGGGACAGAATAAAACTGAACAACAGTCATACACAATGAGGTGTTAAAAGAAACGAATGAATTTTTTTCATCAAGAAAATAACCACAGAATCTGATGTGGATATTACAAATTCCTTTTCGAGGCGGAATTAACCAAGGCAGTTAATAAGGGAGACAAAGAAATATAAAAGATGCCCTATTAACTCCTAATTCCTGAAAAAATAGTAATATGGGTCTTAATTAGCAGAAGGCAGCAAGGCATAGGTGGGGGTGTTAAAAACCATTAATAGCGTTCTTCGTTTCCAATTAAGGAGTAGCGGATAAATTAATTGAGTACATTTATGCACCTGCAGATTATTTTTCAATCCCAGAAAAAAAATGGCGGGAAAGAAAACGAACAAAGGTACTTCTGAAATGAAATAAAAATTGTACTGGGTGGTCCGAAAGTCCTGTCACCCCTTACAGAATATAATTTATATATATCAACGCTCTGTAGAATATTATCATCAAGGAGAGAGTTTCACATTAACGATACCAGAATATCCATCAGTTGAAGGACGACGTTTGGAGAGAGCCTTTCCAGCAATCAACAAAGAACAGATTCGTAGAATATCACATGGCACCACATCATTTTGTGCCACGAATGGTGTTTCTACAGACCTTCTCGACTAAATCCAGTACAAGTGCTTTGTATTATTGTATTACTTGTCCGTCTATTGTTCTCATTACTTTTTGGTAGAGGGTGACAAGACTTTTGGACCACCATGTACATTTTAGTAGTAATTTGATCCCCTATGAAAAAATATGATTAATATAAGGGGTGGTCCGAAAGTCTTGACGCAAGAAAAAAGAATTCTCGAATGGCTGACTTTTTGGTAGGGGGTGACAAGACTTTCCGACCACCCTGTACAAGTCTCCTGGACAGGAAATGGGGTATCGGTTTTATATTGTTATTAAGTAGTAAATTGATTCCCCTCGTAAGCATGATTAATATACGAATTTATACATGTAATAATATCCAACTCTCCTGGACAGAATATGGGGGATTGTTTTTCTATCGTTATTATGTAGTAAATTGTTTCCCAAGAAAAAATGATTAATATACAGCGTGGTCCGAAAGTCGTGTCACTTTACGTAATATAATTTTCATCAACGCACCCTCAAGGTAGGGGTAGACAAGACTTGCCGACCCCCCTTTAGAACTCTCATGGAAAGGAAATGGGGATTGGTTTTCCTAAATCCAGGATGTGCTTTGTGATTACTCTATTACTTGTCCGTCAAGACTTTTGGACCACCATGTACATTTTAGTTAATTATCCCCATGAAAAATATGATTAATATAATGGTCCGATACAAGAAAAAGAATTCTCGAATGGCTGACTTTTTGATAGGAGGTGACAAGACTTTCCGACCACCCTGTACAACACTCCTGGACAGGAAATGGGGGATCGGTTTTACATTGTTATTAAGTAGTAAATTGATCGCCCACGTAAGCATGATTAATATACGAATTTATACATGTAATAATATCCAACTCTCCTGGACAGAATATGGGGGATTGTTTTTCTATCGTTATTATGTAGTAAATTGTTTCCCTACGAAAAAATGATTAATATACAGCGTGGTCCGAAAGTCGTGTCACTCTTACGTAATATAATTTTCTACATCAACGCTCTGTAGAATATTATCATCAGGGAGAGAGTTTCACATGAACGATACCAGAATACACATCAGTTGAATGGCGCCGTTCGGAAAGAGCCTTTGCAGTAATCAACAAAGAACAGTTTCGTAAAATATCACACAGGATATGGTGACATCATTTTGTGCCACGAAAATAATGGTGTTCAAAGGACAGGAAGTTGTGGAGAGCCATAATCGTCTACGTCCTGAAAGAACATGGAACATGGAAGATCTTGGCAGCAGCAAATCATGCATGATCATAAAATTCCATTTAATGTGGTGACAATTATAAAATATCATGATTGTGATGCTTTAACTCAAACTGGGTCATAGGAGCACCATACACAGAACAGCTGTAGCAGTAATGAGTGTTTGTCTATGGTAAGAGAATCTGACAGAGGACATTCCTCTTCAAACTGTTTTTGAAAACAGAGTTGTCCATTTCCTAAACTAATTCCCCAACCAAAGCTAAAGACCCCAGTCAGCTATTACTATTTAAACTATAGATGGGGGAGACAGATTGATGCTTTTTCCAAAGAATAAAACATACCATGGCAATAATTTGAACATTGTATGCTTGTTCCTGTGAAAACATCGATAACCATTACACTACCCACACAACCATTCTTGATATGGAGAGAAAGTATACTTGTAAGTCGAAAACAGAATTAGAACAAATTCTTACATTCTTGGAGATTTTAATATGCAGTCAACAATTCTAAAGAAGGAGAATGCCTCCAAGAAAACTTTTTTCTATTAAAAACACTTGTTCCCGAAAAGCAATGGGGGACCTATTTTTGGTCAGGGCTTCTATTCAGTGATTCTTAGAATGAAAATAACTATTTTCAAGTCCTTTATATTGCTGCGAAAAAGAAAAAAAATAATGCAGGTAGATCCAATTCCAATTGTCCAGATTTCCAAATGCTGTCATCGTTTTCTGCTTCCAGGGAATTACTTTCTGCTGTCGGATTTGTAAGAGAGTCATTTTAGCTTAATGATTAGGGGCATGGACATGTGGCCTACTTGTGCCAACCTTTCCGAAAATTACAATGATGAAAGGAAAAAGACCTTGGGTTCGGAGTTGTTTATTTGACTTCCAAGCGTGCAAGACAATAAGAAACACTACCTGCCAAAAAAAAGTAAAGTTTTGTTGAAATCGGTTGAAAAATGTAGGAAATCCGATCCCATATATAAACGAACACACATACAAACAACCTGGGTTTTATAATAAGTATAACTCGATATGAGTTGTTCCCCTTTCATTCTGGCGACAGAATCCTGTTTTATCGGGTTTTCAAATTGATTTCGTGTAAAAACAATTGTGTTTTTCCAATTTTGGACGCTGTCAGAACCACCGCAAGGTAATTTTACACAGTCCTGTGAAGTTTTGTTGAAATCGGTTGAAAAATGTAGGAAATCCGATCCAATATATAAACGTACAGACACACACACACACACAATCTGCGTTTATAATAAGTAAGATGAAATGTTTGAACAGAGTTTATTTCAAGAATATCCTTGTGGTTAGTACACTTGACGTACAAAAGATTTTTTTTTTTTAGTTAGGAGAGTTTCATTCATTTAACGACATATCATTGTTTGTTGTGTTATTTAATATCAAATTCATTTTTTTAAAAAATTATACTTGATTTAAAAGATAAATATTATTCTGGCTGATAGTTGAAACAAAGATGTAAACATTGGCCAGGTTTATATCAGCATTAAAATTAAAAAATGGTGTAGTTTAAACTCGTCAGAAGATAAGTGTTGGTCCAGTTTACACCATATTCTAAAAAGTAAATGTTGGACCAGTTCATTCTAAAGTTAAAAGGTAAACATTGGTCCATTTTACACTAGAATCAAAAAGGTCCGGTTTATATTAAAGTCCCAATGAAACATTGGTCCAATTTATCCACAGAAATATTTTACTTCAATTTTGCCTTGATAAAGTTGAAAAAACTAAAATGTTTTTCCTATTGTCATTCTTATACACACTCTCTCTCGAGATTATATATATATATATATATATATATATATATATATATATATATATATATATATAGTTATAGTGGAACACACCTATTCTATGGTTAATAGACTCTCCCACCTATAATAAGTAGGAGTAGTAAGAGTAGGGGGTCGGTCAGTGGCACCTCGGCGTGGTGTAATGGTTATCAAACTTGTCTTGCCAGATCAATTTCGAGTGAGTTCGATTCTCACTGGGTGCCTAATACTTTCGGCCTTGTGCCACATCTAAGCTACGCTTAGAAAATCATTGGGCACCTCGGCGTGGTGTAGTGGTTAGCAAGCTTGTCTTACTAGCTCAGTTACTACTGAAAAGGGAGTTCGACCCTCACTGGATGCCTCATATTTTCGGCCTTGTGCCACATCTAAGCTACGTTTAGAAAATCTGTAGGGGCACCTCGAGGTGGTGTAATGGTTGCCAAGCTTGTCTGGCTAGAACATTTACGACTGAGTAGTGAGTTTGATCCTCACTGGGTGTCCCATACTTTCGGCCTTGTGCCACATCTAAGCTACGCTTGGAAAAAAAGTCGTTCGCGTCTCGAGGAACCCGAACGAGGCTACACTGAAGGGCGGAGTCTCTTTCGGGGAGGTAAACCGGCCCTGAACCCGTTTATGATGCCTCAGTGAGGGGGGGGGTTAGTAACCGAATATCGTCAGTGGATCGGTCAGTCAGTCGATGCCGGACGACCGTTAGTCGGATATTAAAGTATCAGCGACCACAACTAGATTTCTCTGTGTCATTACCTATTATATCAAATTCCTAACGTTTTGTACGTCGAACCTATTTTAGGACCGACTTAGTACAAATACAAGCCTCCACTGTGAAACCACTCCATAATATATATATATACAAATATTAATTAATGTAAGTGAAATGTAACAAGTGCTGTGTTTATTTTTTCTTTACATTATTAATACTCTCTCCAGTAGATGAGCAGTTCCCTATGCAAATTGTTTTGGAATCTCTTGTAAACAGGGGCCTATGAATGGCCTTGTTAAGGTTCTTGCTCAATATTTTTCTTATATCCAGGGATTCAATTATTAAGTTTCATCCTCTCCCTTATAGATTCGTCACTCAGGGCCTGGGATAAAATATAGTAAGAAATATATGTATTGCGCTTGTACAAATTCTGATGTTAAATGATTGATTTATTTATTTTAAAGCCAAAACATTTTAGATTGTCATTTTTTTTTTCACTTTTCGAGTGTATATTTCATTAACAATTTTGAGAATAACAAACATTTTTCCAGATACAACTACTATCTAACCCATATTTGGGATGAAGATAGATTGCTACCTTTACAGAAATTGGATACTCGAATTCCGGGTTGGTTGGTTGTTTTTG